TTATTATTATTATTATTAACTAGCAGGTAGAGTCGAGCCATAGTCTGTAGTGGAAATTATTACATCATGATCGCTCTGTGAAATAAACATCAATAAAAGTTGTCCAACCGTAACTGCAGGCGGTCAGAGGTCCGATGTCTTTAAAAAAAAACACTTTTAAGATACGTTATAATAAAGAACTGTTCTGTCTCTGCAGGGCGACGCTGGAGCTCCACTGTTGTGTCGGATGCGTGACGCCTACCTCCTGTTTGGTGTGGTCACATGGGGCAGCATGTGGTGTGACACAGACAAACCGGCCATCTTCTCCAAAGTGTCAGCTTATCACTCATGGATCAGTAAGGTGACTGAAGACATCTGAATGTTTGTGGTAAAAAATAAACTAATTTAACTAGTTTCTTCTCTGAGCATTTTTAACTCTCAAAGTTCACTTATTTTTTTCTGGTGCTTTCAACCACATCTTAATCAGAGTGTGTTTTTTCACACCAAGGATTGTTTTATTTTAAAAAAGTTCCATCAGGTCAGACAACCTTTAGACACTGTCCAAACCAAACCCAGTTGGTATAATCCAGCTTGCAGATGATTCAAAACCAAATATGGCCAAATTAAATGTCAGCAAACACAACCATATTTGGCTCTTCTATAATCGTCTATTTAGACGAAATTTGTGTTTTTCTTTAGAGTCTGAGAAAGTCAAGTAAGGAAACAGCTGGAACTTTTTGGTACTTTTAAGGGGTGTTCATCTGTCCCTTCTAAGATGATCTTGGGCTATGATATGATTAAGGGACAATCTATTACACACCAATAATAAAAAATCAATTGATAGAAATAATTAATTGAAGATAAATTTGTTTTTGACATCAGGAAATCAATGCAGCATACTCAAGAGCTGTGGGATTCATATGAAGGTACAACTGTTTGTCTGAATATAATGAAATCAGAACTCTGTGGTGGAAAATATTGTCAAAGGAAACTTTAGCGGAAATTGTTTTATACCAAATAAAAAACAACTTTTAAACAAAGTTGTAAAGATTGGGGTGTGCATCCGTCCCTTCTAGATACACGGGCTATGATACAATTCAGGGATGACGCATATATCAAATATGGAAATCCAACTGTGAAATTATGCCGATTTAATACAGTATTAACATTTTATTTGCATAATTCTAAAGTTTAAAGAATATTTACCAATTCTATGAAATGTGAGCACTGCTTATCTTCAAATACATATTTTTCAAAATACCATGTGGAAGTCCAACACTTTTTTTCGTTTTATGGGGAAAAAAAACTTAGAAGGGCAACCCATTGGGCCAGGTTTGGATGGCTAAGTTTGTGGCGGTATGTAAAGGTTTTAATATTTTGCATGTTCTGCTTTTGCTAGCTGTATTGCATCCCATAGGTGGTCACCATACCGTCATCAGGGAACTGATTTATATTGCTTACCCACTGGGACCAACTTTTCCTTCTCCTTGTTTATATAGAATCCAAATGTCTTCCAAAACATTTCATAAACATGAAACAGTTGTTTTTTTCCTTCCTCTTTTAAGAAACACCTTCCATACTGTTTGATGTCATCACTGCAAAAATGTACAATCATCCACTTGACATCCATTGTAAAGTTGGAAAAACACCAACAGCTTTATTCCTCAAGTGTCACAAGCAGGTAAAACCCACAAAGTAAATGTGTTTACCAAAAACTCTATTCTAAACATGACATACTAAACTTAAAGTCATACTCAATGAAACACCTACTCATCCATTAGGTTTAGTTTACGGTTGATATTCAAAGGTTATAACTCAAAATGTACATGAAGTAGTATCAGAAAACTAAGGAAAAATAACATAAAAATTTAAGAGGCTAATCCTTTCCTCATACATACTGTTTTAATCAACATTTTACATGGGTTATACACTTTTTTTTTTTTTTTCAAACATCAAATTGAATCTTTATCAGTGGCAGTAAAGTGTCTCTTTAATCTGTCCATTCATGTCACAGTTTGGAAAAATCTGGAGATGTCAGACTTTAAGTTAATTCAACGCATCTTAACACATCATTAGTGTTGGTTTTCTTGTGGGGACAGGCGGCTAAGCACTGGTTTAGGAGGCAGTTCAGTCCTCAGAAAGACAAACCAGAGACAGGACACAGCTGTCTGTCATTTATCAGTGCACAAGTCCATGATGAAACTTCGTTTGAGGCTGGTCAGAGGACTTTCAAACCACAGTGGTATAAAATCAGTTCTGATTGTTCCAGTCCAGTAGGGAGCAGCAGCACTTTCCCTCTCAGCTGTCCTGCAGCAAGTTGTATGATCCTCCATTCACCACCTCATGTTTGTCCTCCGCCTGCAGATTGTAAGTCTGCCGTTATTTTATGTTTAACTTATTATCTCCGTTATGTGTCAGAATAATGACAAAGTCTTAACATGTGAGCTAACATTTAAATTCTAAAATCAAATTTGTATCAAATTTGTGTTTTCTTGAGGGTCTGTTATAATAGAACTACGACTCACTGTGACATTAGATGTTTTGGCCTCGGCTGATTCTGAAGCTGCTTCATAAACCGGGTTGGAGATGCTGCGACTGCAGTCTGCAGGTGGAGCTTCTTCTTCCTCCCCTTCGTCCTCCTTTCAAAGTCACAGAGGCAAAGGTTAGCATGAAGAAATGTGTCTCGTAACTACAAATAATACATTTATTACACCGATATCAAAACGGTATTAAACTAGTTCAGATATATTTAGTTTTATATTCACAGTTGTTCCACTAAAGGTCTAGATGTCTTAAACTAATGCCAACATCAATGCAAATAACTAAACTAAGAAATGTGTTATATTAAGGATTGAACTGAAAGCAGTTGGGGCGCCCGGTTAGCTCAGCTCAGTGGGTAGAGCTGGCGTCCCAGGGTTCGAGTCCGACCTACGGCCCTTTGTTGCGTGTCATCCCCTCTCTATCAATTAAAGGCTATAAAAGGCCCCCGCCCCCCCAAAAAAGCAGTTTGTGTGTACTTAGTTTCACTTATACTGACATTGACAAATGTATGCTACTACATAACAAATATTTTTTTATATCATACTAACTTGAATACGTGTTATACTACTATGGTTTTAACACATTTGTTAGCATAATACAAACAAGACTAAAATTGTATTACTTTTATACTAATAAATCCTAATAAACATCTTGTATTGGACTTACACTAACAAACATGTTATACTGATAGATAAATAATACTAATATGTATAATACCAACAACTGCATTGTAATATTAACAAACAAATGTGTGATACTAACAAGTGAGTTTTTTCACTCTTAAATGGACAGTTTTTACTGACAGTGGAGTTGATCCTTAGGGGAGCAGCAACGTGCTCCGATAAATTCAACCTGACGTCTAAGCTACGTCTCATCTGCACACTGAGGCTGTAATGAAACAAATATTTCCACTCTGACCTTGAAGTAGTGGAACTGGAAGGGTTTGGTGTTGTGGGTGTAGAAGTGGTATCCGACAAAGATGACTCCTGCCACCAGAACTATCAGCACCACCACTCCAACTCCCATCCCCGCCTTATGAGCCACGTGCATCTGAAAAACATGCAGTTTTAGCAGTGAGTCTTTTCTTAAAAGTATATTTAGTAAACGCTGTGTCGTCATGACATCACTCACCTCGTGGCGAGGAGGCGGGGCTTTCAGTGGTCCCTGGAGAACATGTATGAGCCCGTTTGAAGCCAGGATGTCCGACTCAGTGATGAAGCGGTTGTTGATGTAAAAAGACGACTAAAGAGATGAAATATTGTATTAAATGTAGTGTGTACTGTCTGAATTCTTTTAATTGTTGCGTTTTTTATTTTATTTTATTCTCATTTTCTTTATTGTTTGTTTGTTTCTCTTATTTTGTCAAGCACTTTATAAGCTTGTTTAAATAAGTACTATACAAATAGTTATTACTATTATTATTATTATCTATAATAATAAACACAAACAACCAAACTCCAGAAAGGAAAAGATATTTTTACTTATAGAATCATTGTTGCATTTGGGCCTAATTGTTATATATATATACACACACACACACACATACACAGGTGCATCTCAATAAATTA